GACATACTGTACAGCCTCTAACAGGAGTTGGCTGCCCCGACCCCAAGGTGATAGGATTATTTGCCTCTATACCAAGAAGGTTGACAGAGCACCAAYCAGCCTATTCTCAAGTTCTTATGCGTTCTCAGCTCCATGTGCAAAACATGTCTGTGACAGCTGAAGTTACYCTCCTTGACAAGGAGGAGAAAATTGTTGAGAGTGTTGGAGGCACAAGGAGAGTCAGAACGCTAAATTGAAAAAAAACAAAATGAAGCGTCTTGACTAAGGAGGCAATGTTGGAATCAAACATGAGAGGAAGGAGATCTGGAAAAAGTGTTCAGGGAGAGAAAACCGTGAGTGCAAAGGCCCTGAGGCAGGAGCATGCTTTGTGCACCTGGAACAGGGTGACAGCATGACTGAAGGAAGAGTGGACAAGATCGGAAGTAACAGGCGTGACCTACAGACCATGTGAACACTTGGGTTTTTATTGTGAGATGGAAGCCATTTGGAATGTGACATGATCCAACTTGGGGTTTTTTTTGTTTGTTTGTTTTGTTTTTTTGGTACCAGGAATGGAACCCAGGGGTGCTCGACCACTGGGCCACATCTCCAGCCCTTTCCACTTTTTAAAATTTTGAGACAGGGTCTCACTAAGTTGCTTAAGGCCTTGCTAAATTGCTGAGGCTGCCCTCAAACTTGCAATCCTCCTGCCTCAGCCTCCTGAGCTGCTGAGATCACAGGCGTGCAACATCACACCCAGCTTTTTTTTTTTTTTTTTAAGATGATAAGGAAGAGTTTATTCAAAGAGGGCTCTGGTAATGGGTGAGGGACGACCGTTACCATGGGGTCTTGCCGTGGGGAAGAGATTGGATTCAGCTCTCCCAACTTAGAGTTTAAAAGGATCCCGCTTTCCTTCTAATAATAGACCATAGACAAAGGCAGAAGCAGGGAGGCCAGTGAGGAGGTGACTCCACTCATGCAGACCAGAGGTGATGGCTTGGACAGGAGGTCAGTGGTGGAGGAGGTTGACCCTGGGTATATTTTGAAAGCCGGGCCAGCAGGGTTTGCTGAGGCATTGGGACAAACGCCACCAACCCTCCTGTTCTCTGAGCACCGGATGAGCTGGGTTCTTCAGGCCCAGCCTCCAGGATCTCATGCCCTGCTCAGCTCAGCTCAGCCACCCTTGCCAATCCTTGGCCTCTGTCCCTGGGCAGGCTGAGCCAACGGCTGGACAGACCAAGTGCTAGGAAACAACGTCAGGTCCAGGAGCTTTTGGAGACGGTGGAGCCAATTTTAAAATCCAGAGTCGCTGGACTTAAACGCACTGAGCTTGAAACTAGGTTTTACTAAATAGAACGTGAACCAGGGTCAGAGGCGMGAGACCATTCCACAGTTAGGAAGGTCCTTCACGGTCAGCCCCCTACCTACAGCTGCTTCAATTCATGTCACAGTTTGGCAAATCCCAAAGCACGGCATCTCTGTTTGGGGGTTCAGTGGTGAAAGCTGGGGTAAAGCTAGGGAACCCTGAGATTCCGGCCTCCAACGTCTCTCTGGCAGGAGCTCAGGCAGGTGGAAGGGTCACGGGAGACCTGGGCTAGACAGCTGGATTCGGAGCTGTATGGGTGAGGCACTTTCCGGAAAATTGAGAAAATCTGAGTTACATCAAAGACTGAGGAGTGGCACGGAAGGGCACTGGTCCCCACCAGCCTCCTCCTAGAATCGTAGTCTAGCACTTCTCCTTTCTGGTTTATCAGACAGGCAGTGTGACCTGCAAACCTCACCGTGGGGCTCCTGGCTCCTCACCACTTCCTAGGGGCGTGACCTCAGGCCAGTGACTTTACCTTGTTGCCTCAGTTTCTTCATCTGTAAAATGGGGGTGGTGACCGTGCCCATGTGGGAGGTTTGTGATGAAGATCAAACGACAGGCACCACGTAAAGCATTTGGAAYGGTGTCAGGCGGATGGTAATCCATGTTAGCTGGGGTTATTTGTGAAATTGTTGAGRGGAGACTGAGTGTGATTCTTCGATGGCTCCCTCCTACCAACCTACACACGGCCTGTTCATAAATTAAGAGTGATTGTCAAGTAGTGAGGGGCAATGACCTGTGCCCTGGGCCTGGGAGCTAGGATGGGGCTGGGTAGGGTCAAGGAGTGGGGCTGGATTTGGAAGACCAGTGCTCAGCTCAAGAAGGAAATTCAAGCAACGGTGAATTTTTCCTTCATTCAACAAATATTTATTAAACACAGTGTGGCACCCACCATGCACCAGGTGCTGGGGTACTGCAGAGAACAAAATGGGCCAAGACCAGCTTTCAGGAAGCTCACAGTCCTGTGGKGTAGGTGGCAGGGGGTAAGCCACCGTGACTTTGTACCCCTATGTTCACCCCAGCACTGGGTGGGCCGACAGTTAGTAACAGAAGCCACGGCTGGAGCCTCACCCGGCATCCTCCAGGACCACGTCTGTGTTCACCTGGGGCGTTGGTGGGGCTGGAGTTGGAGCTCAATCGTAGAGCACTGGCTTGGCGTGGATGATGCCCTGGCTTCTATTCCCAGCACCAAAAAATAAATTAAAATTAAAAAAAAAGAAACTCATCAATAATGACAAATGCATTCTTTTCAATCTGTATCAGGAAAGAAAATCAAAAAATGTCCACATTCACATTCTTTACCAAAATCTAGAGATCCATCCCCTTAGTGAAGTGATTAAATGAATCGGGACATTGTGTGTAGTGAAGGGCAACTTATATCTTGTGCCTCCAACTGCTTTTTAATTTGGATTTTGGAAGTTGTACAATAAACATCCTCTGGCCCATTTAGTGGAAGACCTGGCTAGCGGCCACATTTGGGTGGAATCCAGAGCAGGAGAGGGCTCCGTGATGGGTGAGGCTGTGGCAGAAGCCCTTGGGTCACACAGCCCAGCACATCCCCTGGTCCTGGGCATAGCTACGGAGGAGACTGAGAAGTCAGGAAAGCCCCAGGGCGGGACCCTCTCAGCCCAGGTTTCTGGTGCAAGGCCCTGCCCTGGACCACGGGAACCATCAGCCTCTCAAAGGTAGCTCTTGGCTGAGCTGCAGAACCAGAGCAAATAAAAGACTATTGTTTTAAGCCACTAAGTCTTAGGGTGGTTGATAATATATAGATGAYCAGAGGGTGCATGATACAGTACTTGGTTCTTTTTAATATTGTATAATAATTCACTATATAAATATACCAAAATTTACAGATCTGCTCTTTGTCATGGACCCTTCAGTTATTTCTAGTTTGGTCTATTACAAATAATGCTGCTAGGAACAGTTTGGACGTCTTTAGTGGAAATGTGTGCTCCTAGAGAACAGACCTAGGAAGAGACCATAAGAGTGTTTTTTGTTGTTGTTTTTGCAGTACCCCATGCGAGCCAAGTGCTCTACCACAGAGCTACACCCCAAGCCTATTTCAACTACTTTGGAAAACTAAAAACCCAGCACAAGAAAAAATTGTATACTTCCACCAGCAAATGATGCTTTCCAGTTTCTCCAAATGTTTGACAACACTCAACATTGTGAGACCTTTTAGTTTGATACTTTCTTGCAAGTACATAGTGGTATCCAATTTTGTGTGTGTGTGTGTGTGTGTGTGTGTGTGTTTTGTATCCAGGATTGAATCCAGGGACACATAACCACTGAGCCACATCCTTAGTCTTTTTTAATATTTTATTTAGAAACAGGGTCTCACTGAGTTACTTAGGGCCTTGCTAAGTTCCTATTTTTTTGTTGTTGTTGTTGTTTGTTATTTATTTATTTTTTGGTAGAGATTAAACCCAGGGTGTTTAATCACTGAGCCTCCACAGCCTTGCTTTGTATTTTTTTATTTAGAGAAAGGGTCTCACTGTGTTGCTTAGCGCCCCCACCCCCAGGCTGCCTTTGAACTCTTCCTGTCTCAGCCTCCTGGGTGCTGGATAACAGGCCTGTGCAACCAGCTATTATTGTGCTTTTAATTTGCATTTCCTCAATAAGTAACATTAAGCTACAAAATACACTTTGCAAAGACTACCCAACAGACCAGAATATTGACAGTGGTGATATCTGCAGAGGTGTGATGATGATTTTGGTTTTATTGGTTTTTTTTGCTACAAGGTCTGTTTGCTAAAATTTCCAAATTCTAAAAATTTAAGTATTTAATTAAAAAACTGTTAGAATGCTTCGGATTGAACCTAGGGCTTCACCCTGCTAAGCATACATTCTACCACTGAGCTATGCCCCCAGCCCTTAAAAATCATTTGATCATGAAAACCATCCTAGAGCCCTCTACCTGTGTGTTCTTATAAATGACAAGATGTAATGACAACAGCAATATTACAAGTAAAGTCATTCATTAATGTTTATTGAGCACCTGCTGTATATCCAGCACCGAGGGAGGGGCTATGAAGGACACAGAGTGGTACAGGGCAGGATCCCTGTCCTTGGGAGGGTTACAGTCTAGGTAGAGACAGGGAACCAGAACAGTTGGGGGCCGGAGAGAAACAGTCCAGGCCAGGATGTAACAGGAACTGGAGAGTGTTCGGGGACAGACCCACTAAGTGCTTCAGCGCCTCCAGGGGCTCCATGCTCAGTGCTGGGAAAGATGACCACCCCCAACTCCATCTCCTATTAGTCTACTTAGCGCACCTTTCCTCAGCCTCTACGCCCGCCATCTTGGCCCATCTCCTTGTTCAGCTGCTCCTCGAGGTGCAATGGAAGTTGGAAGGATGGAGCAGGCCAGGAAGGTCACTGGATGAGTTCCAGGGGCTGGGGTCTGTCCCCCCACCACACACCCTAATATGGAGTGGCCCCCACTCACGGAGGCCTGCCTGACCACCCAGGACCCCCATCCCCAGAGCTACATAAGGAGGCGGCTGTTGCTTAAGCTGCCTGAGGTAGGACTTGGGAGTCCACTTCCTGTGTGTCCTTCTTCCTTCCAGTCCATGAAGTTGGGGGGGAGGGGGCAGGTACCCAGAGCCAAAGGACATGGGGGAGGGGAGAGCAGCAGAGGGGCCTTGAGAGTCAGTCGAGGCCCCCCAAAAAGTAAAGGGGGAGCCACCAGGAGAGAAGCCCAAACACTGAGGCGTGCTCCCAGGGGACGGCCAATGGGGCCATCAGTGGAGGTGGGGAGCTGCTACAGGGCCCACCTTCCCCGACCACAGGACAGAGGTGGGTATCCAGGGCCAGGAGGGACGAAGCGCCCAGCCCTAGTTTAGGCTGTGCCCACTTCACAGTCACCCTGCCCAATCTTAAAGGAGGTGAAGGGACTCCAAAGATTTATTTATTTGTTTTATGATGACCCCACTTGGCTGGGCCCCCTTCAAAGTGCTATCTATTTACTTCTCAAATGGTAAGGAATTCAGGTGGAGAACCCAAGAAAGGGGCGGAATCACAGAATACTCATGAGACATGAGCAGAGGGAGGGAACAGGCCCCTCAAGGCGGAGGAGGAGGTGGCCGGCATGGAGCCAGACCCCCCCCCCCACCTCCAGGAGAGGACACAAAGAGGATAGGATGACAGGTTTTAAATAATATTTCATATAATAAAAGTATGCCCAGCCCTCTGAGGAGCCTATCATGCTACTGCCTAATTTTTCTTTAAATAAATTCTACCRCCAGAGGCTGGGGGGAGAGAGGGCAGGCTGGGTATGTACATGAGGAGGAGTTTAAATTAAAACACAAATAATAATTAAGACGCACAAACTGAAGGACGAAGGCAGAAGATAGGGAGAGGCCTGGAGGGCCCCCCACTGTGTCCGGGAGTGCGAAGGCTCCAGGGGTGGATCAGGGCCTCCTCTTGCAGAAGATCAGCCGGCGCTTGGAGTGGTAGAAATCTGTGGGGAGAGAAGAGACATCAACCAGGCTGGGAGCAAGAGGGCCTGAGCTACCTGTGAGGACAGCTGAGGAAGGAATGGGGCGCCCCTCCCGAGGCCACAGGGACACACCGCTAAGTACAGGGAAGATCTTGGAGAACTTCCGCTGTTTCCCAGGGGGTAATCCTGGTACCCCATGGGCTTTCCAGAGGAGACAGCAAGGTCACCAGCACCCATCTATCTGCTCTCAGGCATGTTGCCCAGCACAGAGCCACTACCCCTGGGGTTATATGAATTGACGGAAATCCAAATCAAATGAAAAGCTCAGCCCCTCAGTCACACCAGCCACATGTCAAGGGCTTAATGGCCAATMCGTGGCCACTATGAGGGCTACTGCACTGGGCTATTCTGTCACTGCAGAGAGTCGACTAAACAGCACTGATCTGGGGATTCCATAGGATCATCTGAGAGAAGTGCTTTGCACAGTGCCTGGCCCACATGAATGTCGTTGTCATTATTGTCATCATCATTATTTGGTACTGACCAATTGCAAATACGCCATGGGATTTCTGCCTTTATCTCTCAGCCTCGGTTTCCTCACCTGTAAAATAAGTATAACACGGCATGGTGCCCCAAGGATAGAATGAAGGCTTTGGTCTAGGACCCCGTGTAACAAGGGTTCAAATGTCAGCACCACCCATTCATTATCTGCCAAGCACTTACTATGTGCCACTGTGCTAGGTGCTGGGGATTTGGCAATGAACCAGAGAGAGGCAGGTCCCTGTGGATATCTAGTGAGGCCAATATCCTAGCGAGGCACCGTGAGGAAGGAGCTGTTGATAGACAGCCAGGCAGGCAGGAAAGGGCGAGGGAACTGTGTTGAAAAAGGGAGTACAGTTTGCAAGGAGTGGACTAAAAACTAGCATTCTTCTCTCCACTGCAAATTCACTGTGGGACCTTAGACAAATCACTGTACTGCTCTGAGCCTTGTTTCCTTGCTCCAAAAAGGAGGAACAGGATTGGAGATACAGCTCAGTGGAAGRGTGTTTGCCTAGTACACCCGAGGCCTTGGGTTTGATCCCCAGTTCTGAAAAGAAAGAAGCAAGAATGTTCATTTGTTGGGGGCGGGGCACTGGGGATTGAACCTTGGGATGCTCTACCACTGAGCTACATCCCCAGCCCTTTTTATTTATTATTTTGAGACAGGATYTTGCTAYGTTGCTGATGCTAGCCTCAAAACTTGCGGTGGTCCTGCCTCAGCCTCCCCAGGCACTGGGATTACAGGGACATACCACTGTGCCTGGCGAAGAATGTCTTATACAGGATTGCTAGTAGGACTAACTGAAATCCACCTTAGAAGCTCTTGCCTGGGATGTAATTATTTCCTAATAAATGCCACCTCATTGGTCTTGGCTACAAAGCTGCTGAGTGACCTCAAGTAGTAGCTTCCTCTCTGTGGGCCCATTTCCCTCCATCTAAGGTACAAGCTGGACCAGTCACCTCAGCCTCTTCGGATCTGAGAATCCTTCCCCACTTCTGTCCTCACCTGTCATGCTGGTCTGTCGCCGTTTTCGGCCCCCAGAGGTTCCAGGCCCAGCAGGGGACCCCTCAGGTCGCTCAGGGGAGCGAGGCACGAGGGTGCAGGACAGCGACAGGTCCACATGGTCCTCTTGAGATGACCCCTGCAGCAGGGYGGCTGAAGTGCTGGGCCGCCTGCCCAGGTCATCCGGGCCACCCCGGGACCCCGGGGTCAGGTAGAGCTTGGGCAGGCCCAGGCCCTTCACAGGCTCCCAGGCGAAGTTGCCTTCCAGGGGCGTTTCGGTGACAAAGTCGAAGTTCCACCGCTCCCGGGCCTCCTGCAGGCAGCCAGCCATGAGGGCGTCGCAATCACGGCGCAGCTGCTCGCTGTCCACTGGGCCAAAGAGGCGACGACAGGCCTTGCTGCCGAGAGGGACTGGACGAGCATCCCCAGACGGYTCTGTCATGGTGCCTGTGCTGAGACACAAGGAAGGACCAGTCACTAGGGTAGCTGGGCCCTCCCTTACCAACCAGGCACTGCTGGGCAACCTCAGGTAGGGGTCTCTCTGGTCCCCTCCAGCCGATTTCCCACCACTCCTCCCCGCAGGACACCACCCCAAGCCCACCAACAGACACTGGGGGCTGGCAGAGCTCAGCAGCCCAGCTTCCCAAGGTCAAGGATGGGAGGAGCTGGCGTTGAAGGGCAAGCTGAGTCCACAGGGATCAGGGTCCTGTTTACCACCAGGAATTATCARCTAAAATAAATCTGTCTTCGCCCTTGAGCTGTCCCATTGGTGTGAATGCCCCCGATCCGGGTGAATTGCCAGAGTCTGGTTTCCCAACCCCAGCCCTGGACAGGAGGTCGATTCCCAAATGGTCAGGTGGCAGCTCCTCCAGCTTCCTGATTCCCCCACCCAGATGCCCAAATGGGGTAACCTTGCCCCACAAATGGAAAGTGCCCTGGGCTGTAGCCCTCATAGCTCTGCTGCTTACTACCTAGACCTGAAAAAGTCACTTCATGTCTCTGGGCCTCAGTTTTCTCATGTATACATGGGGCTACATGACAGTTTAAGGAGTGTGGCTGTGGAAGCCTGCTCAGGCATTTGGCCAGGGAAGCATCTAGAAGAGAGCTGAGAGGCTGTGGCTTGGTGGATCCAGGTGAGGGATCTGGAGCCAGGCTGCCTAGATTGGGATCCAGCCTCTGCTGGTTTGACCCTGGACAAGTGACTTAACGTCTCTGGGCTCATCTGTAAAATGGAGGCAGTGATGATGACTGTCTCTGTAGGCAGATGTGAGGATTAACTGAATTATGGTAAGTCATGTGCTGGGAGCAGCACTTGGTGCATGGAAGATCTTGAAAAATGAAAGTGTTATTATTTCTCTCAGCCTGCAGTTGGGGCTGAGCCTCCTCCCCATCACTCCCCCTGGCCATCAGCTCCTTCAGGCAGCAGCTGACAGGTGCTGTAGGCTGAGGGCCTTTCCCAAGAATGTCATCAGGGGAAAGGAGGGGTGGGTGGGGCAGGGCAGGGTGATGATTTCTCCCAGGCTGAGACACATCCTGCCAGGCTCATCAGGTGATCAGAAGTCTAGACACCTCAGGGACCCTGCCCTCCTGCCCTGCGTTGCCTGCATCCAAAGAACCTGTTTGGCAGGCACAGAAAATTAAAGGTGGCTGGTCCACCCAGCTCCTCTCCTCCCACTTCAGGAGTGGGACAACCCATGAGGAGCCCTGGTGTCTACCTGTCCTGCTCTGGCCTGACTCCAAGGCTGAGAAGCCGTACCACCTTGGAAGGGACTGGGTTGTTTCCTAGGGACAAGTCCTGATTTGCAGGCTTGGGGTGAAAGCCCTGCTGAGTAGAGGCAGGAATCCCTGGACCCAGCCCACACCTACCCCACCCCACCTCTCTGCCTCTCCTGGTGAGTGCAGCCCCTAATTCCACCTCTCAGCTGGTTGGAGAGGAGAGGCACTCAGTGACCTCAGAACACATTTAAAGGGGCAGGAGCTTGAAGAGATATGAAACTTTCCCTTAAATCACACATCGAATAAAGACCCACGTCCACCACCCTATTAAGGGGCCACACACTACATTGGACAGGGCACTCGTATAACCTCTGCCCAGCATGTTCAGGGCAGGGGATAGGATTTAAATATATTTTTATGTGCTGGGGCTGTCCTCAGATATCAACCCTCTTTGAAAGTGGGTTTGTTAGCTTCTCTTTACAGAAGAAGTAACCAAGCCTCAAAGAAGTAACTTGTCTGAGGTCACACAACTCACAGGTGGCACAGCCAGGGTTTGAATCCAGACCCCTTTGCCTTGGGTTCTAGGTTCTGTGCTCTAGGGCAGAACCTGGTGTGGGCAGCACTCTTTTTTTCTCTCCACTATTTTGATTTTTTTAAAGAGCTGTCTATCMGAATCATTTAAAAACATATACAGATTGATGCACCCCTGCTTCCCCAAACCAACTGGTTCCAAATTGAAGGGGATTTATGCACTTAGGACACTTGCCCCAGATAGGCACTCTCTGGGGGCCAGCCCGGGTGGGGGTGGGGACACACGGATGGGTCTCAGTGCTGCATAGGCACAAGGAGGGTCCTAGGAGCTGAGGGTGGGGCCAGACTCCAGGCAGGGACCCTCTCCCCTCCCTCCACCCTTCCTGGATTGTTCTCATAAACCCCTCCTCCCCAAGTTTGCTCTCATGCCATYATCATGACTCCCATCTCAAAACAACCTCAAATGCAAGCCCTCGTTTTACAAACAACTGAGAATGGCTTCCTATAGATTTCAGCCAGTAAATACTGGCTCCCCCGTGACGTCCCCGGTAACTACTGCTGAGTCAGTGGGTGCTCTTTTTAAGGGGCCTTTGGGAGCGATTTCSCGTGAGCGCTCAGGAGAGGCGTCGCCCCTGGCCGGCGGGATTGCTACTCGCGCCGGGGCCGGGAGGGGGCGCCGGTCTCCAGGCAATGCCGCGCTGGTGGACGGTGCGTGGGCCAAGCCGTGGACAGCGCCAGCAAGTAGTGATGAGTCAGTTTCCTGCCAGGCGCTCCCCGCCCGCCAAAACTTCTCTTCCCCTCCCGCCGCGCGCGTCACTCCCGGGTGGGAAGGGGAGGGGAGGAGGGGCCCAGAGCCGCGAACACGTCACGCTGAGCCGTCCGGCTTCCGAAACTCCCGCCGCTGTTGGGAAACGGCGCGCTCAGGCTCGGCACGCACACGCGCGCACACACACACACACACACACACACAAACACACACACACACTCGCGCACGCACAGGCGCGGCGAAATCTGGCCCCTCCACCTTTATCTCCACGCCCAAAACTCCCGATGAGTCAGATCCCTGGAAAATAAAAATAGAGCAACGAAAACAAAAACCGCTCGAAAGTCCTCCCAGAAACGCGACGTGAAGGAACGGAAAGAGAAAGGAGGCCTCCTGAGTGTCCCAAAATGCCAAACCCAGCCCTAACATCTGGGAACACCAGGAGGGCGCAAAGTTCCCCTACAGGTTTCAGACGGGGCGACGCGCCCAAGGAGCGACTCGCCCTCCACTCAGCCTGRTCACCTGCCGACTGGGTTGGGGGCTAGGTCCGGGTGCCCCGAGCCCCCCAGGCAGCTGACAGATGCCCTGCACACCGTCGGGTCTTCCCGCAGCCCCATCCCGCAAAGATGCGAGCCTCTCTGTGCTTCCCTCCCTAGCGTGGGCTAGTGTCGCTCCGCAGTGCCGGCTCCTCTGGCGCACCAGAGCCCAGAGTCCTGACGCAAGGACAGCGGGAGCCAGGCTTCTCCCGCAGCTGTGGGAGAGGTGGGCAGGACCCCTAGGCGTGCCCGCCTGGCAGGCTGGCGAGAGCCCAACCAGCTTTGGTCGCGTTTCCCGGTCCCCGAGGGCGCGCCACTGAGCGGGGGACCGGACGCCCAGCCCCAGACCTCCTAGTGTCCCGGCTTCCTTGGGAACACTCTGTGCCAGCCAAATAGGTCACTGTGCTGATAGGGGACGGGGACTTCGGTGAGGCGGGGAAGAGCGATTCAGGGGTGCCAGTATTCCCCAGTTTGGGTGGGGTTCTGATCTCACAGTCCAGTCCCCAGGGTCTCCTTGTCACCGTGAGTCACCTCCTCTCTTGTCCTTAGGAAACATGTCCTAACACGTTCCCGAGGGCCAGGGACACAGCCCGTGCTGACCTCAGCTCCCAGCGGGGAGGCAGACACCAGGGCGTAGAAGACCTGAATCTCAGGGACCTGGACCCAGACGGTCCAGGTCCTATTGGATCGGAGAACCGTCGCGGGTCGGACTCCAGATGAACTTGTTCTACGAGAGTCCCCCTCCCCTTCTCGGCCCCCGCGGGGGACCTGAGCTTCATTTTCGCGCCTCGAGCAGCTGCTCCCAGGGGTCCGGACCCACCCACCTCCAGAAGCAAGCTCCTGGGGGCGGCCCTAACCACTTCATTCCTCRCCCCAGCTGGGCTTCAGGGGGCGGGGAGCGTGGCGGGCGACCCTGTCACTCCAGCTCCCGCAGTCCTCGCCGAGACTCAGATACAGCCTCCCTTGTCACCCGCAAGTGTACCGACGCGCGCGTGTCAAACCCGGCACGCCCAGACCCACGCCAGCCATTCACCTGCCACAGAACACCTGTGGACTCGGCGCGCGCCSGCGAACAGATGTCCCCACAGACGCTCGCGGACACGCTGGGCTCAGCTCCCAGCCGCCGGCTGGGGGCCGCTGTTCCGCGTCGAGGCTCCCTCACCTCCTCTGGGTGTCTGTGCCTTGGGAATCTGCTCCCCTGCGCCCGATCCCGGCTCTCCAAAGAACTGGCTCCGCAGCTGCTTACACCTCAGCTGGTGCCGCTCGGCGCTGCCCTTTTATAATTAACGTCCCGCCCCTGCCCGCCTCCCAGCCGTCGGGAGGCGGGACGCGCCGCTCGGCCCATCGCGCCGCAGAGACACGCCTTCCCGGCTCGAGCAGCGGAACCTGGCACCGCTCCAGCGGGCCAGCGGGTCCGGGAAACTCGCGGGCTGCCGAAGGGCGCTCCCCTCCTCCCCTTAGCCGTCGCCTGGGTCTGTGTGCTGGAGACATTTCCCCCACGAAGGGAAGCACAGATCGGGCTTTTTAAAGTTGGTGAATGAGCTGGCACYCCCTCGGGAAGGGACGCATTGTTAGGGTGAGTCCCCTTTCGTGCCTGCCCACCACTGAYACCCTCTGGGTAAGATGTATTCCACCCGGCAGAGAAAATCAGGAGGAATGATGTCAATAGATACAAATCCATCAGTAATAAAAATAATGTATCTTTCTTTACAATTCCCAGGGAAAAAAGGGCTACTATACACCATTGTACTCACCCGGACCTCACTAGACACCTCTCCCAGAAGCACCTGAGATGCCCTAAAATCCCAACAAAGCAGATTTGAGTCCAGAATAGAATTCAATCCTCATTGTTTCACAGATGAGGAAAGAGAGGCCCAGAGAACTAGAGTATGCAAAGTCATTGCTCGTCAGGGGATTCCAAAGCTTTTCAGAAGGGGCCAACAGCCTGGTGTGCTGGCACAGTTGTGTAACCCTTGCTACTCTAGAGACTGAGGCAGGATTGCAAGTTCAAGGCCAGTCCTGGTAACCTAGCAAGACTCTGTCTCAAAATAAAAAGGGCCAGGAGATGTGGTAGATCCGTGGTAGAGCAACCTTGGGTGCCATCCCCAGCCCTGGTTCAATCCCCAGTATCTAATAGAAAGGGGAAGGGACAATCTGGTCTCCAGGGACATGGAGAAAGCAGACATTGAACCAGTCTCAGAGCCCCTAACTTCACCTCCCTCCTACCTCCCCGGTAAAACCAGTGTGAATGCAGTAGCTATGCTGGCTAGGAAAGGGAGACAGATCCAGGCTGTGAGTTATCTCCTGGGTACTGTTCCTCCGCACAGCCCACATAAACTTCTGGGGAAACTGAGGCTCAGATTAGTCCAATGACCTGACTCAGATCACACAGCAAATAAACCACTAAGGTCAGCCCTTTACTTCCTACCTGAGCTCTCTGCTTGTGGCCCTCTACTTCTTCAGATCCAGAATGAGGAAAATACCCAGCACCCCTCAATTCCAGGCAGTTTACTGAGATGACATTGATAAAGGAAACTTCTGGAAGGGTCCACTGATGCTTCTGACCGATACAGAAGCGAGGTGTCCATGTACTCCCACCCACCTCCACACCCCTAAGCACCCTTGTTCCTGACCTTGGCCTTCCCTCCTTTACCTCAAACATTCCCAGTTTTGTTTTTCAAAAATAGCCAGAATGGAGTGTGAACAGAAATCTCACTAAAAAACTGTATTTGGATTTGCATCAGTTACAATTACTGATGTCTCAGGCAGTTTGGTGTCTGGAAATCTCTGCCCGGACATGCCCAGTCCTCTTCCTCTAATGCAGCTGACCTCAGAGAGGACAGGCCCCCTTCTTCTCAACTGTGGGGATGGGAGTCCCAGCAGGGGTTGGAGCACTCAGTACCAGACTGCAGTCAGGCCAGGACCACTCCCACCTCTGGCTGCTGTCTCCCACCTCCTCTCCACACCTAGGTCATCCAAAGGCCAGGTTGTCAGATGTACAGCAGAGGACAGACATGTCCTCCTACTGACTTGACTCTCCTTGGCTTTCAAGCATTTCAGAGAAACTTGACATTATCTATGTGACTACTTTAGGGGGGAATTTTTAAATGAAGGATTGTCATGAATTATTGAAAGTTTTGTGGTCCTGAGCCTCACAGTGAAATAATTATTTTTTGTTGGTGATGTTGGGAAGTGAAAAAAAAATTCATAACTTCTGGCTCACCACAACCACAATAGTATCAACAAATACTTATTAAGCACTTACTAATTGTCTCTCTTCAGTAGCTTTCAACAACTGTTTGTGACCATGCACTTGTATGTGTACCCAGGCAGTCTTCAAAGGAGGACTTCAGCCCTGAAGAGGGCAAGGGAGCAAAAGTCACACACAAGACAGAGACAGACAGACAGACAGACAYACACACACACACATGCACACACACCACACAGACAAGTCCACACCTGTGCACCAGACCCCAGCCTATCCCAAGGAATCTGCAAATCACATTCTGTTCAGAGAGACTCAGGCAAAGTCTCCAGGGGTCTCTAGTGTCCCACCATGCCCCTCCTCACCTCCCGGCAGGCATTTCCAAGGATAAAGCAACCAGCAGCATTTTCCACAGCGAGGTTTGACATGTTAGGACATGTTCCTGAGGGCCAGAGGGCCAGTCTAGACCGTAGCCTGCTGTCCGGGCATGCCAGAAAGCAGGCAGCTCAGGGGGAGGGAGCAACTTGGAGGGAGCTCAGCTAGAGGACCCAAGGGCCCAGACCAGCTCCCACCCCAGACTGGGCCCTTGTGGGGTGAGTGAGGGAAAGACAGAAGACCCAGCCTGGAGGAGGAGGATTTGAGGAGAGCTCCCTGGTGGCTGCAGGAGCTACCCAAGCCAGGGAGGAAGTGTGGGGACGTCGGCTCCATTTCTTAGAAAAGGACTGGAGAGTACCGAACAGGGACAGTCAGCTTTCAGAGGAATTCACCTCCACGTAGAAGTGAGACCCCAGAGAAAAGGCGGAACAGAGAAGTTGTATTACTGAGCAAAAGAAGTCCTGGGGGTTTTGTTTGTTTTGTTTTGTTTTTGTACTAGGGATTGAACCCAGAGGCACTTTACCTGAGCTACATCCCTTTGTGTTTTCATTTGGAGACAGGGTCTCGGTTGCTTAGGGCCTTGTTAAGTGGCTGAAGCTGGCCTTGAATGTGCCATCCTCCTGCCTCAGCACCTCCACAGTCTGGTTGCTGGGATTATGGGCATGGAGGTGTGGATCTCTGCACCTGGCCCTGAGCTTGGGACCCCCCACTCCACCCCCCACCTCTCCTCTCAAAGTCGCACTTACGCTCTTGTATCCTTGACTAGGCTAGCACCAATCACATGGCCCTGCCTAACCTGATGCAGGAGGGGGCTGGGAAATGACAGAGAGCACCAGGATCAAGACCGATCATAATGTATCACAGAGAAATCTGTGATAGAATTTGTGGCACACAAACACTTCTAGCCTCCCAAACTTACCACCTGAGCTTAAAATCTCACCGTTTGAAATTCATTCCTTTGGCATAAATTCATTAAATAAGATCATATAGGCAAAGTACGTAGCCTGGTACAGAGGAATCATGCCTATAATCCCAGCAACTCAGGAAGCAGAGTGATGAGGATCAAAAGTTCAAGGTCAGCCTCAGCAACTTACCAAGGCCCTAAGCAACTTAGCAAGACTCTGTCTCAAAATAAAAAATTAAAAAGGGCTGAGGATGTGGCTCAGTGATAAAGCACCCCCTGGGTTTAATCCCCAGAACCCCCCAAAAAAAGAACCACTCCATGAATATCAGTTATTATTACTGGTTAGAAACACTCCCTGAAAAAGCATCCTTTGAAATTCAGTAGTCCCTTAAACATTTAGTGGGTGTCTTAGGACGGTTTCTCAGAGAACACATTGAAGTGGAGAGTCATTTGAAGGAGGTTTATTGGGGAGCGTGTTTGTAACCCACACTTGTCTGGATATAAAGGAAACAGGGTTGGGCAAGGGAGGAGCTGAGGTCTCATGGGGTCTAGAGGCTCTTGAGAGGCCTCAATCGATCCCTCAAGGGATGGCTTGGGATAGCCCTCCAGATTCTAGGCTCAGGTGGTAAGTTTGGGAGGCTGGAAGTGTTTGTGTGTCACAAATTCCGTAGTTGGGATGGCCCTACAGAGTTCTCTAAAGGAAAGCAAGGGGCCAGGCCTTTACRGCCCTGCTCCAATTCATCATTTGGATTTCACTTCCCTGCAGCAAGAGGGTACATGGCCTCAGGCAAGACAGCACTCCTATCTGAAGCCAAGTCCTGAAGAAGCCAAAGGCATCCTTAGCAGCAAGCTTGGCAGCCACTGGGGAGAAGGGTGCCTGGCCACAGGGGTTGTAGGTGGCCCAGGGCAGTGTAAGCAGGTCAGCTCATGTGCAGGAGCAAAGGGTTCCCCGCACCTCTGCACACACCGTTATTCCCACTCCACTCTGAGCTCCTGCTCACCCTGCCTGGCCTACCTTGCATGACCTCCTGGGATGGGTCTTCCACAAAGCTCCATCTGGATCCCAGAGCCTGGTGAGCAAGTCTGTCCACCGGGCCTTGTTGGCCTGCTTGGTTTCTGTGCCTACTGAGGCCTCTGAGCCGGGAACTTGGAGGGGGAAAGCCATATTTTATTCATCTTTGTACCTCAGGAGCCTGGCAGCCTTCACTGGGAGCTCTGTGAATATTTATGGAAGGGCCATTTTTAGCCTGCACTCTGGGGGGAGGCTTTAGTGCCCCTGCTTCTGTGACCTCTCTGTCATTTATCCATCCATTTACTCATTCATTCATTTAAAAACATACATAGTTAACCTTCCCTGCTCAAACCCCAAACTCATCATTAACGGTCACTGGCCCTTTCCTATGTGTTCTACCCCTACCTTGAATTTTACATGTAACGGGCTGGGGATGTGGCTMAAGCKGTAGCGCGCTCGCCTGGCATGCGTGCGGCCCGGGTTCGATCCTCAGCACCACATACCAACAAAGATGTTGTGTCCGCCGAGAACTAAAGAATAAATATTAAAAAAATTCTCTCTCTTTCTTTAAAAAAAAAGAATTTTACATGTAACTATTTAAAACAATCATTTTGTCACATGTGGTCAATTATTCCAGGTCCTCTCCTACATTTCCCAGCC